CCACTTGCAATAATACAGGTGGCTGGATTTCAGGCGATAATGGTTGAGATCGCCATTTCCAGCGATCTCCACCACCTAAACCTACATCAAGCATGCCATCATTAGTAATGGCAATGGGGCGGGTTCGGTTCGGGGCGGGGCGGGGCGGCGAGGGGCGATTTTCTTGCCCCATTTTATTTTTAATTCCGAGTTCAATTAAATGCGGATAACATTCAAGTTGAACTTTTAATAAAAAATGCCCTTACTTTATGTAAATTTAAGTTTTTGTTTTGGAATAAAATTATTTACAGTGTAAAATGATTTTTAGAGAATGTGTGGATAAAAAGTATGAAAAAAATTATAGGTCTACATGTAAATTATGTTATTAGAAAAATTGTTATAGAAAATAAGTTTAAATAAAAAGTGATTTTGAAATATATTGCATACATGAACTCTAAATATGTTATAATAGTTATAATTAAGTATGTAAACAAATAATTAACAAACAATTAGCTAATTAGTAACAAAGTTATGATAAATTAAGGGTTAGATGAACAAATAATTAGAAATTTGTTCTGTCGTGTAAGTATTTTTATTTGTTTCGAAAATATAAATATGTTTCAAATATACGAAAAATTTATTTTTCATATTTATTGATACAAAAGATGCTTGATCTTCATATTTACACGTAAAATTCTTTAATGGAAGCGAACCAAGATTTTCTGCCTTCATATCTCCACGTAAAAAAAAAAAAATAATAATAATAATAAAATAATTTCACGGGGTGGGTTCGGGCGGGGCGGGGCGGGGTAAATTGCCAACACTAGCCATCATCATATACCATGAGTTTTTTTGCATACATTTTCAACAAATCTGAGAATAATTATGCTTTATTTAGAAAATTAGTTGTATATTGGTTTCAAGCAAGTCACTTGAAATTCCTTTGATTTGGATCGTCGAATTCTCAACAATAATTTTTCACTATTTTCTCTCTTCTTCACTATGGTGAGGGTATAAATGGAAAGTCAATTGTTTTTAAAGAACAATTTTTTTTTTTTTTCAAATCCTTTCAACGGCCATTTTGGAAAGATGACCGGGTCAATCGGCCATGTTCCACTAATTCCTCTTTAGTTAATGTATTTACTTTTTCTCCTTTCTTTTATTTTCATTTTAGGATAGAGACATTTTGACAATAATACTTAGCTGTAGATAAATCTCATCCAAGACCATTTTAAGCTTGATTATTCATTGGACATCAATGTCACAAAAATTGTCATTTATTTTTTTGACAAAAATTGCAATCCATATAATGCATTAAAGATGTACTTATGATTCCCACTTTTAACTCGTTTATAAATTATACATTTTGTCGAAATGATCTGAAATTGTGATTTAAGTCATGAAACTCTCGTAGAGATAACCCTAATATTTATAATAATCATGCTATATGTACAATCATGGTTGACAACATATGTTGACGATACCCTATTTGACATTATCATATTCATTCATTAAAAATAAAAAATAAAAAATAAATCTATATCACATTCTTGAATTTTGACAAAACATAGTTGTCAATCAATATTGTACATTTAGCTTTATTCTATTTAGAATGATAAAATTTTTATTCCCTTGAAGAAGGAAAATAAAAATTGAATCCGGACTATACGTAATTGCCATTTATGATTTATTCTCAATCTTGGTTTGGAGGATTCTAGACTCTTTCGCCATTAGGTGTTGAATTTATTATATTTAATTGCAATTACATCGTTTGGTGGAGATTTATTCAAGATGAACATGCTGGAATATATTTAAAATTTGGTTAAATAGACTGGAGAAATTGTTCTAAGATTTTGCTGAAGATCAAGATAATTGAACACTTTTTGACATTTTCACGACACTTGCGCCATGTCTTTTGCGCATATTAAAAGACAAAATGGCACAAATTTTTAATTTCGATTATTTGGACTCCTTTAACAAGACTTTTGAAAAGTCAAAAGAGGCTTTCGAGATTCAAAATCAGTTTTTAAACAAGTTTGACTAATTTGATGAAAATACTTCTTTTAAAGGGTGTTTGATATCCATTTTTATGAAAAAATAAATTTTAGAATAGTACATTGATAAAGAATGCGTGGATGAAAAATAATGAAATTTTTAATATTATTTTAATGACGAATGTGTAATTAAAAAGAAGAGAGAAAAATGTATTTGATAAAAATGATAATCGAACGGGGCGTTAGTTAGAAAAACTTTTATGTGAAGCTGATCTAATTTAGCTTTCACCAAAATTTTTGCATTTCACTAAACAATTGTTGTAAAAGATGCTTAATTCCTGTTTGGTTCAGATTCATTAAAACTCATTTTTATGAAAAGCTAATTTTTAACCTCATAGTTTTTTAATACAATAATTTTGCATATAATTTCATAACATTTTCTTACTTTTTAAGACCACATTCTCCAAAAATCATATTTTTCAAATAAATTTGCTATTTATACATGAGCATTTACACGCCCCTCACAAGAGGGAGGGCTTGTGCCCAATAAATAAACGCACAGGCCCCCATTGTGAGGAGTGTGTATATATAACACTGTTCTTTTTCACAATATCCATGTTCAAAAAATGTTCAATAAGCTTCAAATCGCAGGTAAATCCTCTACTTTTATGACCTGAAAAAAGAGGGTGGGAGCCCCCCCCCGCGCCCCCGGCGGCCCATTTTCTGTCTGCTTATCTCTCAAAAAATATAATACTATATAGCAATATAATTCGAAATGTAGGTAAAAATAGATAGTATCATAGTACCATTCTATCATCATTTCCTCTATCTATAAGCAATCTCACTAAAAGGACCACGAGTCACTTGTAACTTCCTCTGTCAATCTTTTATGGACAAATCTGGGGCGTTGATTTCTCTACAATAATTTTTCACTCTTTTCTCTCTTCTTCACTGTGGTGAGGGTATAAATGGAAAGGCAATTGTTTTTGAAGTTTTAAACCTTTTTTTTTTTTTTTTTATAAAGCCGGTAAACGGCCATTTTGAAAAGATGACCGGGTCAACCAACCATGTTCCATTAATACCTCTTTAGTTAATTTATTTTTTCTCCTTTCTTTTTATTTTCATTTTAGGATAGATAAAGAGATTTTGTCAATAATATTTAGCTGTAGATAAATCTCATCCGAGACCATTTTAAGCTTGATTATTCATTAGACATCAATGTCACAAAAATTATGGTTTTTTTTTTATTTTTTTTTTCCTACTACAAAAACTGCAATTCATATAATACATTAAAGATGTACTTATGATTCCCACTTTTAACTCGTTTATAAATTATACATTTTGTTGAAATGACTTGAAATTGTGATTTAAGTCATGAAACTCCCGTAGAGATGACCCAAATATGTATAAAAATCATGTTATATGTACAGTCATGATTGACAAAATATGTTGACGATATCCTACTTGACGTCATCATATTTATTCATTAAAAAAATAATAATAAATAAAAATTCTATATAACATTCTTGAATTTTGACAACACATAGTTGTCAACCAATATTCTACAATTAGCTTTATTCTATTTAGAATGATAAAATTTTTATTACCTTGTAAAAGGAAAATAAAAATTGAATCCGGACTGTACACAATTGCCATTTATGATTTATTCTTAATCTTGGTTTGCAGGATTCTAGACTCTTTCGCCATTAGGTGTTGAATTTACTATATTTAATTGCAATCACATCGTATGGTGGAGATTTATTCAAAGATGAACATACTGGAATATATTTAAAATTTGGTGGAATACCCCTCATGGGGTGGTTAAGTTGGTGAAATAAGTGAGTGTGGAACCTTTGGTCACGAATTCGATTCCCCTATCAACACTCTCTTGGTCGAGTCTATCGCACATGGCTTGTTTAGTGTGATTTACTTAGTTGACGTGGTTTGTAAACTATTCGTCAGTTCCTCCGTCATAAAAAAATAAAATAAAATTTGGTGGAACAAATTGGAGAAATTGTTCAAAGATTTTGCGTAAGATCAAGATAATTGAACACTTTTGACATTTCACGACACTTGCGCCATCTCTTTCACGTGTATTATAAGACAGAATGACACAATTTTTAATTTGGATTATTTGGACTCCTTTAGCAAGACTTTCAAAAACTCAAAAGAGGCTTTTGAGATTGAAAAGCAACTTTTAAACAAGTTCACCAATTTTATGAAAGTACTTCTTTTAAACTGTGTTTGAAATCATTTTTATGGAAAAATGAATTTTAGAATAGTAGATTGATGTAGAATGTGTAGATGAAATATAAAGAATTTTTTTTTTATGTATAATATTATTTTAATGACGAATGTGTGATTAGAAAGAATAGAGAAAAATGTATTTTAATAAAAATGATAATCAAACGGAACCTCAGAAGAACTTTTATGTGAAGCTGATCTAATGCAGCTTTCACCAAAAGCACTTCTAGAATAGAATATGCTTTTAAAAATTATTTTTCAAATAAAAATTAAGGTAGTTTTCTTCAAAAGCACAGCAAAAATTATGCCAAAAGGTTCCAATTTATCTTACCAACATAATAATGATAATTAATTATTTAATTTTGACAAAATACATACCAAAAAATATACATCCACCTTCATTTTCAGCTAACAAATGATTTATTAGACAAATCAAACAATAACAAATGGCCTGAAGACCCCTAACACCACTACTATTACCTCTTGCATACAAAATCTTGAACCTGTACATGGACAAAAACAATTGTATGATAAACATCCTTCTATTTCCAGTCATATACAAAAGCACTGAAGCCTCACATGCCGTTTACCTTCCGAAAACATGTGTAGGCACAGTTTTGAATCCGATAAAAGAAAATTAGTATCGTAAATGCCACACAGAACAAAAATTGAAAATCTTAAATGCAATTAAAATACTGTCGAACAAATAAAAAGTATGGTATAATTGCCCACAAACCCTTTGTCATGACAACCGTTTTGTTGCGAATTGAAAATCGAACAAAATGGCGGATCGAATTTGGACGACATAAAAAATAAAAGTTCAACACACTTATCTTGTTTAATCTTCAATCCACCTTAACCAACATAGAGATGAAAACTAATTAGGTTGACATAAAATACATACCAAAAAACTATACATTCAACTTCAATTTCAGCCTGTGAAAAATGATTTATAAAACAAGTGAACAAATAAAAATGACATAATGCCCCTAACGCTAGTTTTAACTCTACTGTATCTTCTTGCATACACAATCCTGAACCTGTCCATGGACAAAAGAATTGTAGGATCAACATGCTTCTAATTTCAGTAAAATACAAATGAGCTTGTACATTACGAGGGCCAATGATCTATTCACCCCTGCGTCAAAGCCCCATAATCAGGCTTCGCCGCGAGGGTACTCAGTGTACCAAAACAGAGGAAGTGAAGCTACTTCACCAATGCACTCCTGTCCACAAATATGTGCAGAAAAGTAAGTTTTGCCCAAAAAAAATGAACAAGGGAACTTTAAAATTTAAGTTTGGCAAAATAAGTAACTTACAGCCAAACAGCTCTATAGTGTTCGGCATATCTACGAGTACCTACTGCCCCGCTTAACTATATACTTTCCTTTCTCTAGGTCATAAATAGTTTTTTGCTTCGGTTTTCTCCACTTGAACACAATCCACGCCGCAATCGACACGAGAGAAAAACCTAACAAAAGGAGTAATGTTGAAGAGTCGCCACTTATTACAATCATAATCCAGTTAGAATGCTGTACATCCGAATCAATTGCACTATGCAAGATGAAAGCTCCCAATGCCCAGTCAAGTGGGATATTCTGCACTTGATTAGCATATCCAATCCTGCTAATGGATCATTCAATTAATGAAACTTAGAGGGAAAAAAATAAAAAAGAACTTAAAATAGCGGTAGCACTATGCATTTCTCCGGCTCTGCTGATATTTCAACCATTTTTCTTGTTTTGTATACTTGAGGGGGATTTAAAATGTTAGTATGATAATCTGTGAACTTTATAATACCTGTCGTCATCTAAGGCAATTCCAAGACTATCATGCAGTAGGGCAACAATATATGCTGAAGAGAAGCAATATCGAAGCAATTCCTCCTCGTCAAGAGAGTGGTATTTCCTCTTCAATTCTGTCCAATCGCCTTCACAAAATTGTTGCCCAGCAACCATCAGCTTAGAAAGAAAGCCTCTAGGAGTCAACTCGAAGAACTATTTGGAAGAAGGGAAAAAGAAAAGTTTAAATGAGATTTATACAATATGACAGAATTTTACATTCAGAATCAAAGTGATCAGTATCACAGCCGTTTAGAGAATTGAATCAAATTTGTTACCTTTGAAGTGTAAAAGAAATTTTCAGTAGCCAAGAACTTTCCTTGGAGCTTGGGTATAAATGTCGATCCTATGTAGCATCTTTGATATGAGCACCTATCTGAGTTATCCAGACAATGATAGAATCATGATCGTATAGAAACCATCATAATGAAACATCTAATAGTGCGATAGGCAAGCAGCACTGCAATGGACTCGACAGTAAAATGAAAAATATTTTAGCCTTTACTTTAATATTGTTGAGTCATTTCCAGTACCAAACCAAACAAGCACTATAGTAAAAGAAGAAAATCACCTTTTCCTTTCCGCAACAACTTTAGTGAGGCAGATCTGCATTCAGAGAAATTACCATATGGATGGAAAGTGGATGGATATCTATTTTTTTCAATCAAAGAAACAGGGGAGATTTTCTGGGTCTCTTGATCACGTGTATATCCTCTAGAAGTACAAGGATCTACTAATTTCCGCCCCTCAGATTCAGTAGCTGCATCAATGGAAAATAGATTAAGAAATTCTGAAATTTATGAAACCTCTAATGGAGAACTACAAATTAAAATCGCCGAGGACAAACCATCAATTTGATTAATTCCGCAATAGTTTCCCAAATATTGAAGAAAATATAATTATATGCATTTTTCATTAGAGCTATATTTGCAAATGATTAGCCCAATATAAGGTGAAAAATCACCTTAAATGCAACCTCACCAATGTCACTTTGTTAGAGGGAATACGGTCTAATGATGCATAAAGTCGAAACAAAATGCAATTGCCATAATATTCAAGTCTCTTTACAAGAAAGGGGTAATTGTCTTTTTCTCTATCTATCACTCAATAAACATGCTTATAACCACAGTTCTTTTGAAAACCTTAAAATGGGAAAGGCTAGGAAGCCTCAAATTTTCCTTAAAAAACCGCTTCACACATTTTAATACCTAATCTTTGAAAATATAGCAATATCGAAAATTTTAAACACTTAGGGCCTGTTCGTTAGTGATTATGAGAATTGATTTTTTGACCGTTAAAGAGAAAAGTGGGTTCCACCTGTGAGTGAAGAAATAAAAAATGACTGTTGAAATAATGAAAAACGGAAAAAAAAAAAAAAAAATTTTTAAAGAAAAAAATTGCTACCAAACGAGAGCTTAAACCCAAAAATGAGCAACATCACAAAACATCTTGATAAATTAGTAACGTGATGGGGACCCAACCATCTCTTCTAAAAGCACAGGCTTGACGGTAATTAAATCCCATAACTATTAGACCCTAACAATACCCCACGGCCCCAAATCCGATGTTCACGGCGACCCACTCCAAGACAACCTTCGGTTTACCCGGCCAGCCCCTCTTTGGTGGCTGGTATTTGGCACTTCGCTTGAGTTACCCCTTCCAGGATTCGAACCTGTGACATGGGTCTGTTCGGATACCAATTGATGGGGACCCAACCATCTCTCCCAAAAGCCCAGGCTTGAGGGTGATTGAATTCCACAACTATTAGACCCTAACATAACGCTTATAAGTAATGCCAAACAGGCTAAAAGATTATAAATCACAACTACCTAAATCTTTGATTATGTAATTCATAAATATGGTACTATTGATTATGAGGTAGGGTTTTTAGTCTATATTTGACAAGTAACAAACTTCTTACATATGCTCCCATACTGCATGTGCGCCTACTTAAACAGACAACTTAATAATAACAGAAACCCTACTTTATTCCCTTCTATCAAACCAAGTGCATCCACGCATCTCAGCTTGATCCATTCAGACTAGATAAAATTATCCATGGACTATTAAACATAAGTTCGGATTAGATATAACAAAGTGTCTAATGTCATCCGAAAAGAATTTTTACTGTGTATATGGAATAAGAGCAATCATAATTTGACCTCAGTAGTAATTCCTAAAAGCCCAAAAAGAATACACAGCTTTGCTTAAAAAGTTGTGCAAACATGAACAGTAAATAAATAATGATTCATCCTGGCCTACCTTCTTCTTGGCTTCCAGATACAAGCAATTCTCTCAGTAACTCAAGTGCAACATTCTGCAAAATTAACACAAGTTATAGATACCTGAACTCCAAATCAACCTCACAAAATATTATAGATCAACAATCAACAATTTTTCATATCAACTAACCAACAGTGGTGATCGCTATTTCTAATAATCAAGTGCTTGTTTGGGAAAGCGTAAAAAATTGCTAAAAAGTTGAGGTCAAAGTCAACAATTACTTTTAACCACACATTTCATAGGACCCATAACTTTTGTCAACTCTTCAACTACACGTTTCATCATTTTTTATCAAAACCTGCTAAAACTTTTATCAAAAGCTTTGTTAAATAACCTCTAAATATTATAAAACAAAATACTACCTACTTCCAAGGGGAACAATGCTACTATTCAGACAAAGTCAATGGCACTAATTCAAAAGAAAGGTTACCTGGCCATACTGAAGCAAGCTGTGACTGTAGAGATTGTAAGTGAAATTTCCAAATTTAACTTTTCGAGAGTACTCAGGGGGCATAGGCTCATCTGATACAAAGATAACCTGACATTTTGAAAATTCCATCAATAATGACATGGAATTATGCAAAGCTTTTGAAACAAATTTCAGATGTAATAGAAGTTACAGAACAAAAACTTGATGAATAACACGTAATCACTCAGACTAGAAAAACTAAATTGCACCTGAGCTGAAGCACCACCAAGTTCAATAATCCCAGTTGTATGAGCTGGATCACCTCCAAGAGTTCCAAGAGCATAATTAGCAACAACCCAGGCATATAAACCTTCATCAGAGCCTAAAGAGAGAAAAAATAATGTTAATCATCCAAAGTGAGTAAGGTAAAAAAGAAGTATATAATTTACTGATTACATTGGGTTCGCCATCTGAAACTACAACACATGCATACACATACAAATAGACATATTCTATGTTGTCCTTAACACTATAAAACAAATGTAGACACTAAAGTAAAGCTATATGAAGCAAAATACAAATTAAAGGGATGGCTTAAATTTTTTTTCCTTGTATGTGTGAACATAGTGTGTGATAGAAAGATTAGCATGGTCATAAAAGATGTACAGTCACAGTTGGCTCTAAAAGTAACACAATTATATGATACGAATTGTAATTACATTTCATTGACGACCTGTAACCAACACACAAACTATATAATTTAACAGTCATGCAAGCATTGCAGTCCGTCAATCACCACTCAGAGCTCTCAAATTTGCAAGTTGACTCTTCCAAAATTAGCATTTACCTTAACGTTGTGATTTACTTTCCTTTTTTTAACCTTCCACCACTTATCAACTAGTGACATTTACAATGAGTAATGAAAAGCTAAAATTAACTCTTGGGATTTTCATTTGAACAATTCTACATCAGTGCCTAAACTCAATTACAATGTAGGAAAATTTGAATTAAACTTAAATCAAAATATCAAAATTAACCAAGAAAACACAATGTCCATACCTGAAATGACAGTCGCCCAGTTGTCGAGGAACCTAAATCCTGAACCCCTTAAAACCTTCCGGCACACAGCTAAAATTCTCTCTTGATCCCCTTCCTTCAACAACCGCATCCCAGCAGTCGCCATCAGGCGAATCTCGGTCTTCCCCCAGTATTCCTTAGGCACATTCCTCCTTGCAAACTCCACCAGTTCTGCCACTGCTGCCCCAGCCCTCTCGGGTTCTTCGATGTGAGCCGACAGCCCCGGACTGACCTTCATCGTCTTCAATCCTTTCTCTGTAAAATCAAGCACCGAATTCCCATTCCTAACTTCATACTTAAACACATGAATCCTTGTCCCTGTGCTCCCCCCATCGATCACCACCCCATATCTTTTCCTTTGCTCATCTCTGTTCCAAAAAATTAAAATGTAGCAAAATAATACGAGGGCTAATAAAATTGAAGTGTAGAGCAAAATTCTTGATCTGTGTTTGGCGTTTTTGCTGTTGGGATTGCGAAAAACAGGTCTGGCCGAGCGATATTGGAGCTTGATATGATCCATTTGGTTTTCCAATCTAGGTCTAACTTTGCGGGCATTAGATCGGCGCATCAAAAATTAAGATTTTGTGAACCATATGATAATTATAAATTAAACCAATATTACAAAATAGAGAAAACAATAATAATCATATGGATTCACAATTTTTTGGGATATTTTTGTAAGAGATTGAGAGGGCTTTTGACAAAATTTAAGCCCTCTCCATCTCTATGCGTTCGTGTTTTTCTTTCCTTCTCCCTTCCCTTCCGTTTCTTGTCTGAATCTTTGTTTGTTGTGTACAAATTATGGAAAAGCATAACCAATGTTAGAAAATTTGGGAAAATGAAGAAGACTGCGAGAGGGACCGGTGATTGACTAATTGGATTGAGTGCCCGACAACATAATTTTTTTTTTTTTTGTGATTAAAAATAAATGTAAAGAAAAGTAATTTATAAGGATTTCATAATATAAATTAAAGTTCCTATTAAGTTCAACCAAAATTTTCAATTAAAATCTAAGTCAATAATTAATTTTAATCATATATTTTATTAGACTCGCAATTTTTCAATTACATATTTCATTAATTTTTTTATTTATTAAAATCTACAAAATATTTATTTTTATATAGACCAATTCTTTATTGGCTTTTTGGAAGCAAATAAAATGTTTTATGCAATTAAAAGAAAATATTTACTAAAATAGATTGTATCTTTAATTTCAACCTAATTACTCTGTTGACATAATAGAGGTAAAACTTGCACTTATTTAGATCCATAATCTATTAATTGGTAGCGATTTATCCCCCGTTTGGCCCCCCATTATTTGGGTTTATAATGAGGGAAATATTATTTTTTTTTTTGAAAAATGGATGATTGTAAAAGAATAAAAAAAATCGATTTGTATGTAATATTATTTTATTGAAAATTGTGTGGTTGAAAATAGGAAAGAGAAGAATTTAAATTGAATTGAATAATTTTAAAGGTGGGCAAAGGGGGCATAATCAACTTATTATACGTGTCTCAGGATCAGCCTCCAATTTAGAAATCACTTTGGCAAAGTAAAGATGCAAAGTAGGAGGTTGCAAGTTGGAAGAAATGAAAATTGGAAAGTTCATGGAGTTTAGAATTCAATGTATTTTACTAATCTCTATTTCCACATTGTCTTGCTTCCAGCGATAGGGGTGGAGGTTCGAATCCTGGTGGGAACCTGCGGTCAAATTTATTTGGTATGGAGCAATCAATTTGGAGGAGGATCTCTTGTACGCAGAAGTGTATAGGCGGTGGAGGGGACCTGTGATCCATTTGAGGCATAACTCGCGATTTATCCCCTCCAAGGTTCTAGGGGCAAAGGTCTTGAGGGTCCAAAATTTAGTCTAGTATAAGTTGAGATACCTGGATATCAAAAAAATAAAAAATAATATTGGCTCTTGGGTAAGTGCAAGTGTACAAACAGCCTTTCACCCTGTACCATTGGAGGCATAACCTGCGATTTACCTCCCTCACGATATTCCAGGACAGGGGTGGTGGGGGACCCTTAAGGTTAGGGTTTAACCTTTTTTTTTAATATACATGTTTTACTCTAGATTGGAAAGATGATACAACCTGTGCTTGTGAACAATTTGAGGCCAAAATCTTTGCTTGCACAAATAGGAAAAGCTTATCTGCATGGTTTGGCGAGCGAGACCTAAAGGGGATTTTCCATCATGTGTACGGTCTCTATTCATGCAGGTTTCGATTGTCATAGTTTTCAAGGGCTTTCTTTGGATGTTCTGGCCATTGGTGGAGGTTGAAAAAAATTGATTAGTAGAATTGCAGTCACGATTCCAAACCTTCAATTTCTTTGGAGACTTTACCTAAACTTTTTATTTGTGCCATCCATAATTCCAAACTTTTAATTTCGTTACAATACACTGACAAATAGATGTCAATTTGTTTGTTAGTTGACCCAAAAAATAATTTTGACCGTATCATTAACTATTTCAATAAGGATAAAATGATAATTTTACAATTTATACATATAACAATTTAAAATTAAATACAAAAAAAGAAAAGTAAAAGAAAAAGAAAAAGAAAAATCATCTTCTTATATCCACTCCCACTCCCACTCCCACTCCCACTCCCACTCCCCTATCCTCACCCGACCCCCGACACCAAACCAGGAAACCAAAAAATCGTAAGCCACCTTCGCCCACGAGCCATTCATTAAATCTTACTTTTGAACAAAAAATAATTTTTGAAAATCCTCCTCTTTTGGTGCTTGGAACTGGGTACTTTTGCGAGTTAAAGTTACACACGAACAAGTTGATATAAACCATTATTATTATTATTATTATTTTTCGACAAAAAGTGAGGAAATTATAGAAAATTAACTTGCCCAATGATAAATTATGATGAAATTCAAAAATCATTTTCCTGGTAAGCTAGTATTTTGTCCAATTTATCTTGGATTTGAATCTCACTATCTTCTCAATCATTTAAAACACGTTAAGCTCTCTAATATGTCTTTTTTGAATCTTGATCTGTAGTAAATAAAATCTTGCCATGTACACTTAAAGCAGACTACGATGTCACAGTGCTTATCAAAAGTGTCATAGTATCACGTGCTAAAGGAAAACAATTGGATTCTAAAGCTCATTCATTCTCAATTTTTTGCATCTAACGGCTCTAAAATATTAAACATGTCATGAGCAAAATATCTAATTTATTTTTATGATATTTCACACGCACTTATATTCTCGGTATATGTTAGTTGTGGGAAGAAGAAGTACCAGCTTATATATTAATTCTACTAGTACTAACCATTAATAATAATATTAACTTGGGGTCTTCGGCAACAACATAAACTTCTTGTGACAACATCGTAGTGCTGGCAGTGAAACGGTTGACCATCGAAAATTCCTACCGGATCTTTGGGCATGCATCTCATACATTTGGCATAAACAACTCTCTATTACCATATCTAATTGGAGTTTCAAAAATAAATGTATTTGAAATTCGAGTTATAATAACTCTTATACCCTCTAAATCCATTACCAAGTTAACTAAAACAATATAAGCAAATCTTCCTAATATTTTCTAAACTTACGTTCCATCGCTCCTGCAATATCACAAAAAATGTGTGATGTTTTACACTTTTTAAAATTTTTAGCAAGATGATAAAAGTGAGAGAGATCTCAGGGACTAGTGGAATATCGTACCACAATAATAAATTGGTAGCATCATAAAGAGACTTTCAAAATTTTTTTAACGGAAAATGTAATTTCCCAATCTTACTTTAGTAAATCATTTTACTGGATCATTTACATATCAAATGTTGCAATAAATAATAATAAGATATTTGCAGCCTTCAAAATAAAGTAGTAAAAGGCAAATTGAATTCCATCTATGACTTATATCAGTGAAAAGTGTTTTACTATTTAGTTATGTTTTTTAACAATTCATCCAAAAAAAAAATTCTATTGGGAGGATATCGTAATAAAGATTAGAGCACTCTTAATTTTATAGAACTTAGTTTCAATTAATTTTAACTCATTTGCACGATTAAATTAAAAATAGGACAAACGCAACTAATATAAAAAACAAACCACCAAAATTAGGACTAAGATTAATAGCTAGTTTATCATTTACTACTTTATTGACCGTTGCATTGTCAAACATAAAACTACGAATTTAGCTGCGAGAATAAAATCTTTAATGATACCCATTAAAGCACTAAAATATTAGTAGTAATATGAGAAAATTCAATTATTTAACAGCAATAATTTTTTTTTATGCATTATCCACATTTTATCTACGTAGTGAGCATTAGCATCAATGTAACCTTTTCTCTTCAAAATACCTTCACAGGTCAGACATTAAAGATATAATACGATTATGTTTATTTAAACCATTCCTTGAAGTTAAATGTGTGGTAGTTGATCTAAACCATTCATTGAAGAAGAATCTTATTTCGTTGATGTCAAATTCTACATGGAAGATGAAGAATGCAATTCTGCAAGGTTGACCATGTCTGGATTCAAAATCAAAGAAGATGCAAATGATCATGATACATCCAGTGTTTCTCAATCTTATCAACTTATCAAAAGCAAATCAAAATTTACATTTGAAGGATTCTCTAGAGGCAAGAAACCTCAAATAGAATCAATCGATGTTGCGGTGTTGAGAAAAGAGTTAACTCTTCCAATATCTAGTATTCCAAAATTGCTTCTTCCCCATCAACTCATGGCGGTCCCCGAAGAACGTAAACCTACATCAGAGGTTTCGACATCCATTCCAAACATATCAAAAATTTGTATTTCCAGCTCATCCAAACAAGAAGGAGCTGTTGAATCAAAATAGACTTTCAAAGGAAGTTACAATCCTTAAGTTAAAAAGTTGTTTGAAAATGCTGGGTTTGGAAAAGAAGAGCCTCTTAAATTAGGTGATCTTGACATTGTCCTTTTAGGTAGACGTGTCCCTAATAATTCTGATGGAGCCTTGATATCTCGACCCAGGTATGGTTTCTGATATGATCCTAATCCACCGAGAAAGATTCAGGTCAAGAAGGTTTCCTCAAACCCCATCATAGTTCAAATTTATGAGGTTGCAGAAGAGAAATCAGAACAACCGAGACCTTCAGTATTCGATCGAATTGAAAATGAGAATGCCAGAGTTTTGATGTTTAAAAGGTTAAAAGGAAAACCCTCTCCAGTGGTCGACATAAATGGTAAAGATTCTGTCTTCCAAATATTAAATGAAGATTCTTCTTCTACCTAAATTAATAGGAGTGCACAAGCTCCCCAAATGTCATTCCAAAGACAATCTGCATTTTCTCGACTTGGAATTAAAACTTTTGATCCAAGTCCGAAACCACAACGATCAAGAAGAAGACGAAGGCATAAAAAAGTTCACTCATCTCCACAAGGTAATGAAGATAAGGAAGAAGTCTCTATTAATCATATAGCCTTTGAAGAAGCTCTCGACTCAGACTTTGGGTCGAAAGTTCAGTTGCAATAGATGAACCTGAACCAGCCCCACCTACCTTTGAAGAAGGGGGACAAGTTACTGTGGACGATTTGAAAAAATTGAACTTGGGGATCAAAGAAGACCCGAGACTAGAATTTGTAAGTGCCCTTCTCAGTCAAGAAGAGAAATTTGAGTACATTAATTTGCTTCAGGAATACAAAGACATGTTTGCATGGTCTTACAAGGAAATGCCGGGTTTAGATCCTAAGGTTGCAGTCCATCATCTTGCAGTAAGACATGGAGTTCGACCGGTTAAGCAGCCTAAAAGATGATTTCGACCAGAACTAATCCCTCAAATAGAAATGGAAGTCAACGAACTTATTGAAGTTGGATTCATACGCGAAATGAAATACCC